CCCCTCCTCGTCCCGTCTAGGCGCTGGAGCCACGTCAGCCTAGATTTTATAACGGACTTACCACTCACCCGGCGCGGCAAACGACAGTATCCTTGTCCTCGTCGATTCGCTCAGTAAAATGGCCCATTTTATCCCTACCAGAAAAACAGCCACAGCAGCAGACACAATCGAACTTCTTGCGGATCGGTTAATTCGTTATCATGGCTTCCCAGACGTTCTCATTTCTGGTCGTGACCCTCGTTTCCAATCCCAACTGTGGCAGCAGCTCTGCCAACGATTTCACATAAAACGTGCGATGTCCTCTTCCCACCATCCGCAGTCAGATGGTCAAACAGAAAGGGTAAACCGCACTCTGGAGCAGATGCTCCGAACATATATACAAACCGACGAGAGGGACTGGGAGCGTCTCTTACCGGCATTAGAGCTCGCCTACAACACGACGAGCCACTCTTCGACGGAGCTCTCTCCGTTTGAGATCATGATCGGGCAAAACCCGATCACAGCAGCAGACTTAGATGTTGTGGGAAACTTGGATCCGACGCTCACCCCTCCCATGACAAAAATCTTCCAGCAGTTATGCGACAGAGCGCAAGGACATATCCTGAAAGCCAAATGGCAGCAGAAGCAATATGCGGACGCACACAGGTGCGACGTCCGCTACTCACCTGGCGACAAAGTCTGGATCAGCAGCCGCCATCTACCCCCCCTCAACCAGTGCCCCAAGTTGGAGCCCCGCTTCCGAGGTCCCTTTCCTGTACTGGAACGCATTGGTGCTGTTGCCTATCGTATTGCGCTCCCTTCCACCTATTCTTGTCACAATGTTTTCCATGTGTCGCAGCTTGTACCAGATCGCCCCAGGGATCCGATGATGCAAGCAAAGGAGGCCGCAGTCGGCTGGCTGCCTGTACAAGGTCCAGATGGCGTCCCAACTGACTCCTACGAAGTCGACTACATCCTGAATCAGCGCGGTTCGGGCTCGGACACACAGTACCTCGTCAAGTGGCGCGGAGCTCCCGAGGACCGCGCGACTTGGGAACCGGCAGAACACCTCACCAACTGTCCGTCCATCCTCCGTGCCTGGCGCCGCTATTATAAACGCGCACGGGGCGCGGAGCGGGACCAGCAGAGTGTTGTCGCCGCCAGCGACAGCGTAGATCCTCCTCAGCCTCCCGACCACACCCCTGTACGCCAAGAAGGGGGAGAGGTGGCACGCTGCCCATCGGCAGTCGCATCACCTACGCCTCATGACACCCCGAAACCACAAAATAGGCCCCAAACGTCAGCAAGCGATGGAGAAGCTCAGGGGCGGATTCAGGAGGCACGAATACTGGGGAAAAGAGGATCGGGATTACGGAGAGCCAGGAGTACGGAAAGCAAAGGGAGGATGTAGCGAAGGCTTCTCGGGATAGGACTTGAGGGAGTTCAAGAGAGGACGAGAGTTTTCCGACCGAAGGCGAGAAATTTCCGACCGCGGAGGGAAGTTGTAGTGCACTGGCACTACAATGATGAATCAGAGTCGGTCAGTGGGCAAACAATGACGAAAAGCCTCTAATTGCATGTAAAAGTGTGAATGGCGACAGTCAATAGTAGGCAAATTGATAGGATAGGGAACCCGCCTTCCCTACGGAGGCTAAGCCGTAAGTAAGAGGGACGGCAAGGACGCCGCGACCCGTACGCAGACCCCCCTTTACGGTTCTAGGGTCTGGCGGACGACCACCCTTGAGGGAGGGTGATCGGGTACGGTCAGAGGTTTCGGATCTCAATTAACCAATTTTCCTTTCAATATACGCCCACTAAAACTATTGACAACGTTACTTCTTCACTATAGTGCAGCAGACCAGCTCCGTTGTGTTATATGGTAGCTAGGTATAGGCCGTGTCAGCGGTGCGTGTTACGGCAGTGTACTACACCAGCTGCAGTGTGGTGGACTGCAACTCCTGTTGGCCAGCGTCTTTCCCGGCAACCACAGGCCCTGAGCAGAGCATCATGGATGCATGGAGACAGGGAAGGGAGATCATCTGCTTGGGGAAAGCTCTGACCTCATGTTTTTGGCTTCATTGCTGCTCGCTTTAGTCCCGCGAAGAGGTCGGAAAGTTCTCACTACCCATGCTCTGCCCAGATGTAGCAATGCTTCTCTTCAGCTGGTAGGCGTTTCTCTTCTTACGTACAGGCTGGCTCCTGAACGCCAAGAGACCGTTTAACAATTGCCTACAGTGTTCGTGTAGCCCGCAACAGGGGACCTTGGCATTCCTCCACGAGAGTTTGCCTTGCAGCACGAGTTGCAAGGTGCGCTGCAACTCACGACAAGCTGTTTCCCCTACACACCAGGATAGGCTTGTGTTCCATTTTGCCCAAGACGCCCGGGTATGAGGGAGATGTCAGCTTCTCTTGGGGAAATTTTATCGTGACTCTCTTGACCCTGTCTCAGCTCACGCTTGTAACTTGGACAGTCTGTAGCTGATGCGCGTATTTCTACTTACGCACACGGCGCCTACCGTCGCGTCACGCAAGCGTTAAAGATTTTCTCCGGATGGGATATCGAAATCGAGTTTGTTTCTGCTCGATGATGTTCACGAAATTGGGTCGCCTCCACACCCAAGGCCAGATCATGGTCAATATCCACTGCACAAGAGGGAAGGGCTGAGGTTTTTGTTCGATTTTAGTAAGGTGTTTAGGCAGTAACTGAAACACAAGTGTTTTTTGCTTTCTTGTTTTTCATTCGCTGCTGCAAACTAGGTCCCGTTACTCCTGAGGAGCACGGTTCGTTGCTCGTGCCTCCTGCAATAAACAGTGCGGTGTTACCAAGTGTAACGAGAGTCCTCGAGGTTATTCGATGACAGTCGCGGACTGAAAGAAGGCCGAAGGCTTAAGCTAAGAGTTGCCTAAAAGCAGCTGACTGCTCTCACGCATTCCCAGTCGTTCTAGGCTCGGCGACACAGGACCTGCTGTTGTGGAGGAGGAGGCGCCCTGCTATGAATCGTAGCGTACCTCTCTGTGTAATATGAGTTAGCGCAGAGTTAGCTCAGGAGCCTATCGACGGCTTTGGCATGCTGAGCGTAAGCGCCTGCAAACGTTATACAAGTTCGTTACGAGGCAAAGCATGCAGCAAAGA